GTAAGCATCGCGACCGTCATCGTAGTTACGTTAGCTATTGTGGTATCCGTTGTAATATGGACGCCTGATTCGAACCTGACAGCGGTAAACGTAACGAAGGCAATAACTTCGTCTCCCACGACCACCACCTCAGGGTGATATTGGTAATAGTGTTGATTGCCTGTTGTATCGCGGTGCTGGCCACGTTCGTCTTTGGACGGAGAGTCGAATGCGACGATAGTCGTTGCGGTGTCAAAGGTTCTTTGGAATCCGACGGCAAGTCCAAATACTGCGTGTGCCTCGAAGGGTTCGCGGGACCGGTGTGCGAGCAGGTGGAAGAGAAGCCGATGGGCAAAGTGGACTGCGCGAAATGCGTAGATAACGGTGGCAAATGCGTATATTCGGACTTGACGGATGACATCTACTGCGTCTGTTCCCACGATCGATACGGTACGGTTTGCGACCACGCGTACGAGTGGTTGACTCGAACGATGTTGGCGTACGTCGAAGCATGCGTCGACGACACGTGATGATGACGACGTGCGTTTGGTGGCGAGTACATAAAATGGGGTGGTGAGAGGAGGAGGGCTCAATATGGATTCCGTTAGTGGATGCGATGTATCTTATATTACTATTTCAGCTTCTTTGCATCGTCGTCGTCGTAGTATTCCCGATGCCGACGGAAGACGTAACGCCTTCGGCGAAAGAATTCTACGACGATTCAGCGACGAAAATCGGTATTACGCACATATCGGAAATACTTGTCATGGCCGAGTGGCCGGCTCTTTTGGTCGGCGCGAGTAACTCTCTGTTCGCATTCGATCTGAACGAAGGGTTGGACGTGTCAGCGGCAACAAATTTGGAATGGATACCGGAATCGATGTCGATGGAAACGTGCTATCTAAAAGGAAGAGAAGAGGAGGATTGCCAGAATTACATCAAAGTTATAACGCCAGATGCAACGACCGGGAACCTGCTCGTTTGCGGAACCTACGCGCAGAAACCGAGATGCGTTATTCTGAATGGGAAGGTAGGTCGACACGTGGAATCTAGCGAATCGATGGGAGACGAACGCGACGGACGCTTTGTACAAGTGTCCGTTCGGCGTGGACCAAAAGGTCACCACGGTCTTTGCGGACGGTAGCCTTTACGCTGGGACGGTTGCCGATTTCACCGGCAGAGGGTCCGCGTTCACGAGGTCGATGTGGGGCGGGTATCCGCCTCTCATATCCAAAAAGTCAGATTCCATATGGCTCAACGACCTGGTATTCGTGGGCTCGTACCAGGAAGATAACGAGGTTTATTTATTCTTTCGTGAAATTTCGATAGAAACTCAATTCACGGAGAAGATGTACTATTCCCGAATAGCCCGTGTTTGTACACAGGACAGAGGCGGTAATAGTGCGGTACTCGAATCGACGTGGACGAGCTTTTTGAAAGCGAGACTAGACTGTTCGTTTCGCGGAGATTTCACCTTCCACTTTAACTACTTGCAGGACGTCGCAAGAGTTGTCGAAGGGAAGAAGATCTTCTATTACGCAATCTTCACGACCGGAGATCACGAGATGCCGGCTTCCGCGGTGTGCAGATTCGACCTCGACCACATCAGGGACAATTTCGACAACTGTCTACTCAAGCTGACCAAGTGTCCGTGGTCGCCGATCGCGGACTCGCAGCGGGGCGGTTGTTCCGCATCCGATTCGAGGCGGCTCTCGCACGATAATCTAAATTTCATCAAATCGCATCCGTTGATGTACGAGCCGGTCGTAGGGGAAGATCCGTTGTTTACGCTCGTTCGAAAACGCTACAGATTGAAGACGTTGGTGGTGAGGACGAGCCAGCATCACACCGTCGTTTTTGCAGGAACGGACGACGGCCGCGTCTTGAAATTGGTTGCGAGACAGGAATCGCCATCTGTTCTGCTGTACAACGTGCGCGTGATCGGACAACCGATCACGAACATGAGATTGTACGAGAGCCGAAATGTCATATTCGTGATGTCGAAAGATTTTCTCGTGGAAATGTCTACGCAACATTGCAGCCAATTGAAGAACTGCTCCTGCA